GAGAGAGAGAGAGAGAGAGAGAGAGAGACTGGGGGGGGTGTTAACGGGGCTAGTGTTTCCTGTACAAAGTGGGATCGTTTTCCAGCCCGATCCCATTCCCGTCAGAAGCCAAAAAGGGCAAAAACAAATAACGGAAAGAACAGGAGGGCCTGCTACCGGTACCTGCTAGCCCAGGCCACCTCCCTTTTTTGCCGATTATCGAACCGGTAGGCCGTCTAAAGCGCAGTTCACTGTTTTTTTTGCTGTTTCGAACTGCTCACAGCCCAGGCTTGCGGTGGACTGTTATTTCTGCGAATTCTGAACTGTGCAGCGGTCACAGGCGCAGTTGTCTCAAGAATAATAATAACAATAATGAAAAACATGGACCATTTCTCGATTTATGCGTGTCGTGACTGTCGCCCTTGCACAGGGGCCGTACTAAATCCGCGGCGCCAGAGGGGTAGGACAAACTGGCTGTCTCGGTGTCCTGACAATTTACGTAAGCCGTGGCCGCTGGGCCCCATACTAAAAGGTTTCTTTCTTAAAACAAAAAAAAAAACAAAAACAAAAAAAGAAAGGGAAGGAAAAATGGAAAAAAAAAAAAAAAAAAAAAACCCAAAATTTCACGAATTGGGCTAGCTCTTCTTCTTCTTCTTTTTTTTTTCTTTTTTTTTAAAGACGAAAATCAAATGATGGAGGCCGGGGACCTCACAATTCAACCCGGGGTTATCCCGGCAGCATCAGCCCGCTTAGCTTAAGTTTAACCAATTCTCCCAACATTCATTTAATCAATTCTCCCTTAAAGAATAGTAAAGCATTCGGGTTATTCGCAACACAACCTTTTCCACCTCTTCCCATTCTAGTACTCCGACATCTGCGACTGACATATCACTACTGTCCCTCTATCTCTACCTCTTCTTCTTCTTCTTCTTCCTTTTTTTTTTTTTTTTTTTTTTGTGTTTGTTTTAAACACAGGCTCCATCTATTCGTGGGGAGCATCACATGCTTATACACCCATGAACTGTTGAAATACAGGGCCTCGCCACACCACTCTCGAAATGTGAGAAAAACAAAAATGTGGCGGGTGCATCTGGCCATGTTCTAGGGGGAAGTTCATTCTCATTTTGCACATTTCGAGAGTGGTGTGGAGATGCCCGCAGACTCTCAAGTTCGAATCTAGATGCCCTCAGATGAAGAGAACACTGCCGCACGTACCGATGAGACGTTGAATTTGGGTCAGATATTCATTTCATCTTAATAGGCTGCTGTTTGCTGTCATCTGAATTCTTAAGGAGAAGTGGTGAGCATTGCTCCACAGGGGCTTCGTCATGAGGGAGGGGAAGCATCCATAGGGGGTGGATGCAGATTGAGGGAGAGGCTTACCTAAATCGCGAGGAGGTGGGTGGGTTTTGCGGGGCTTTTTAGCCCCTGCCGCGCCGGAGGTAGGGTAATCCCCTGGTTAGTGAAAACAGCATCGTGGTGGGAGTTGGTGTTTTTGTAAAGAGGAGTGTGGGGAGGTGCTATCCGCTTTGAATCGCAAGGAGGTGGGTGGGTTTGCGGGGTCTCTGCCAGCAGTTTGGAGCCTGTAGGCACAGACCCCTGCCGCACGGGTGGCAGGGCGGATTGGCAGGGGTTGGTAATAACTCCGGATGAATGGTGGACATGATCACGCAGTGCTGACCGCTCGTTTCTTTTTTGTTGTTTTGATTCGTTTTCTTCAGTAGTACCTTTTTGCACATGATTTCTTAATGGTTGGTGGAATTTTATAAATGTTGTTCGTTAAATAAACGGTGGAATTTAGGTCACATGACTATTGTGATTAGAGTTTTTGGCGATGAACTTTAGATTTTTTTGCGGATAAATTTCGTCGAATTTTCAGTGGTAGGGGTTGTGGTGTTGGCTGTGGAGTTGGCTGCAGGGTGAAATCTAGTGGTACCCTCGATGTGCTTGGCCGGTGATGCTTAGCCCGCCAAGGGCCCCACCTAATTTTGTGAGGGACGTCGGGCCCAGTTCCCGGCTCTTTTTTTTTTTTTTTTTGTAAAAAGCTATATTTTTCTCTCAATTTCACCTCACACTACCTACCTACCACTACTCCTAATTGTAGGCATACGGGGAACCCCGTAGCAGCCAGAACCGTGTTCACGAGAGAACATGCAGGGGCTGCTCCCGACCTGCAGGTGGGCGATACCGGCTAGGGGACAGCCGGTAGCATCAGGGACCATGCCAACAGGACCAATCCCTGTGCCTCCCCTCAGGTCCCCTCCCCTATGAACATCAGCAGTTGTTCTTTAAAAAAAAAATAAAAAAAAAATAAAAAAAATCATTCTGAATTGCCTGGGCCCGATTAGTTCAATGGCGATATCTCAAGGCTGTCACCTTTTTTTTTTTTTTTTTTCTTTCTAGCCAATGCAATTTCTCAGTGATTTTTTGTGTGTGTTTTTTCGACTTTTTCCTATTAGAGACCGGAAGTCAAAGTTCCGCGCTATGGACGGCACACTGAACCCCCACTTAGCGCCATTGAGAAACTGAAGGGGAGGAAGACCGCCAAGGCCATACAGGAAGATCTGGAGAGAGAATTTGAGCGTGAGGGATTACCAGTGCCTCCCCACCCTAAAGGTAAGCTGAATGATACATTCTTTTTTTTTCTTTTTTTTTTCCAGAAAAGTCTGGAAACCGGCCTGGGGTCTGGTCCCACCTAACGTTGTTGAGTTTAGAAAACTCAACGGTGTGACGCCATTTCTACATTAATAAATTCAAAACAAGAAATTAAAAAACTGAAAAAAAACGCTAGAAACAGCTTTTCTCCTTCTTTTTTTTTTTTTTTTTTTTTTTTTTTTTTTTTGAGAACAACCCGATTGGATGCTAGGTGTGCTGGTAGGGCAGACACCTCTAGCACAGTCGGGGAGGCTCTGGTGGGGAGCAGCACCTGCTGGGAATCGGGCCCAACGTCCCTTTGAGTACATCGTTGTCACACAGTTTTTATCAGGCATATGGCCATTTAGAGTGCTTACTTCCGAGCATCCTTCTTTCCCTCTGGGTTGCGTTTAGTACCCTTCCTAATTTAAAGAGATCCGTCATCCACATAGCCTAGCCTCACCGGGGATGGTGACCTGACGTAACTCGGAGAAATGAAACATGTCTGGAACAGTCGGAGTGAAAGTCTCAGTGAAAAAGGGATACTCCCCGTGGTGAGGAGACAGGAGGTCCCCATTTGTAAAATGGACAGGGACGACGTGGATGGCCAAATGCATTCATTGCCCAAAGAAGGAAACGAGTTTGATGCCAGACAGCCAAACACAGCTGTCAGAGTTCCTCCGTTTCAGGATGCAATGAGGTCTTAAAAAACAAAAAAAAGGAAAGGCACTGCCGTTGAGAAATGTACCCTACCCTCGGTAGGGTATTTTTCTCAATGGAAAATGGATTCCCGCCCAAACCAAAAGGGCCAACGCATACTACAAAACGGATTTCACGTCAAAGAAAAATTCTACAAAATGACTAAATCTAATAGGTTATTCTCCTGTATTTTGGTACCGTTAGATTCGCAATACATCAACGGCAGAGCTCCGTCCCACCATGCCACACGTGATAGAAAGCGCAGCGTTGAGAAAACTCAACGCTGTAGGTGGGACTAGACCCCTGGCATCCCTTACAAAAAGTAGGTGGTCCCACATTCAGAATTTTGATGGGCTCCTACTTTCAGAATTTCCAATGGGAAAAAAAGGAATTCAGAATACCTACTTTGGGTTTCGGGCTGCTACGGGGTCCCCCGTATGCCTACAATTAGGAGTAGTGGTAGGTAGGTAGTGTGAGATGAAAATGACAGAAGAATATAGCTTAAAAAAACAAAAAAAACTTTGGGTTTTACAAAGATTTTTATGCGATTCCTGTGGCTTGTCATAAGGCTGTGTGTGTCACATAGGAGCTTGCGATGGTGATAACTGTGGTCTTCAGCTGTGGTTAAGCCTGGCCGGAGAGCCTGGCTCATCCCCGCAGTCCGTAGTTATCGATGTGAGGGACGATGGGCCCGTTTCCAGCCTGTGATGATATAATAAAGGGGTAACTTCGGCGCAGTCACGAAAACAGTTCGTAATTGCACTTCAGGCAATCCCGTGAATACAACACACCCCCACGCGACCCCACCGGGCCCGAAACGTGGGTCATATACATTCAGCATTACCGGCCCTTTTTTTTTTTTGATATCAACTTTTTTTTTTTTGTCCTTTACAAAAGTAGGTGGGTCCTCAGTGGGCAAGGCATCATCGGCCAAACACATAGAGGACACCACTAGATTTAAACCCACAGCCAACTCCACAGCCCCAACAACTCAAAAAGTCAACGAAGATTATCATCACAATCTAGATTATCCATATGAAATGAAAATACTAAGAAAATCTGAAGCTCATCACTAAAAACGTAATCACAATAGTCTTGTCAACCCTAAGGGTCAGATCCCACCACCCTGGATTATTCATTTTTCACCCTCGATTACGAAGATCAACGGTCAGAAATGAACAATAGGGGCTAGTGGGATCTGGCCCTAAGTTAGTGAAATAAATTCCAGAAGCCGGAAAAAAAAAATCAAAACCACAAATAAGAAACGATCGATCAGCCCTGCGTGATCCTGTCCACCATTCGCCTCAAGTGCAATTACAAACCCTAACCCTGACTGCGCCGTAGTTTTCTCTATAATAAATCCCTTTTTTCCTGTCAAATTAAAAAACGAAGAAGAAAGGAAGTGAAAAAAAAAAAAAAAAAAAGCAAAACAGAATTTAAAAATTTCAGAATGATCTTATCATCACTTCCATGATAATGTCACCAAACATTCATGATAGACTCTCTGAGTCCCTCTCATCTTTTCGTTTCTTAGTATAATCTTACCCTTTCTCACTTCGCTTTTGCATTAATTCCTCCTGTTTTTTTTTTTTTTTTTTTTTTTTTTTTTCCCTCCTGTTTTTTCGAAGTTAATATCCAGACATGATTCACACCTCAGATCCTGTGACGAAGGCATGACCATAAATTCCAGAAAGTCAAGGCCTGTTTTCAACCTCCCTGCTCTCGGCGCGCCCCCCGCCCCCCCTCTAGTTAACTACTATACCTCCCCCTTGCCCCGCTCTCCTCGCTGAAAACAAAAATATGGAAAAAAAAGAGAAACAGCTGAAAAACTCTTTCAAGAAAGGGATTTGCCTTCCCACTAACCGAAAGTGGACGGCGGAAATGAGCGTTGGTGGTGAAACGGCGATTGCGGCGGTGGCGGCGCCTGGTCGCTGGCTGTGGCTGTGTAGAGCGTGACGTTCGAGTATGGACAGGCTGATTCTTCCCACGTGGCGCTTACCCTGCCCGGCACGACAGCTGTGTGAGAGCTATGGCGAAAGCGTCTTGGCGTAGCCTAACTGTTGAGTGGGTTAGGGAGTGCCTTTGCCCTCTTATGCCAGGGCACCCTGGCAGCCCTGTAGCAGACTTCTATACCATACCAAATCTAATAGACTGATCTCCATCTCTCTACATGTCCGATACCTGATAAGACCTTGAGACTAGAGGAGCCGTCCTCTCCTTAAGCCTTGAGCTTGAAGGGAGGGTCCTTTCTCACCACTCAATGGGCGCTCGGCCCCAAGCAAGGCGCGGTCATGATCAAGTAACATAAGGCTTCCTGGGGGAGCAACATCCTCAATGTGTATGTCCGGACGCGGAGGTCCAACCAGGGCTATAAAGAAGGAGAAGAGAACTGTATCTAGCCACATCTTCTGGCTGTGTACATCACGAAGCGGTAAAATCGAGAGTTAAATACATGGGCCGGAGCAGCTTTTCCAACTCTTTCATGTCGGTGCTTTTCCAATGGCAGTGGGAGAGCCAGTGGGAGCGACCTGGGAGGAGAATGCCAAGTGCTATTGAAATCTCCAGCGACCTTGAATGCTCGTTTTTTGCGATCACGTGTTGATGATTCGGGGTAACCCCTTTTTTTTCTTTCTTTCTTTTTTTCTTTTTTCTTTTTGAGAAACAGCCCGGGCGGATGCCTTGATGAATTTAGGTATTTTTCAAAAAATAAAATAAATAAATAAATAAATAAATAAATAAATAAATAAAATTGGGTATTGACCTTGTACCTAGGACATAATTACTGGTTCACTATTCCTCTCGTAACTTTCTGTATCTGTTGTTTGAACTTTTCGTACGCATTAGTCTTTAGGTATAATTGGAGTCCCTCAATTTCGCGATGGATTTCATGGAGGATGGATTCTAAGTGGTGTTTTGTCTTAGCATTTCAGACAAGACATGCTAAGAGGGAGGAAGTCCAGGCTAGCCAAAAAGAAAGCAGTCACACCCATCATACTACAGGCGGCACAAAGCCCACATGGGCGCAACGTGTGAGGGGCACAATTCAGGAAAAATCTCTGTCTATCAAACGATCTCCGACTGACCCCCAGCAAGGAGAGGTGGAGGACTTGAAAATCCCCCACCGGAATCTGTCGGCCGCCCGAGCATACTTCCTCACCCTTTTTCTACTCCCTGCACAGAATCAAGTGGTTGACCAGGGAGGGCGTAAGACAATAATCAAAACATACCCAAACGAAAAATTGGAGGCGAGAGATCAAGCATACGTGACACATGCCAGCAACTGGTTGTTTTATGGGGAGGCAGCACAAAAATCGGTTAACGAAAAAATAAAATGGATTTGTAAACGTCTGGAGGAAATGAAAGGGAGTCAAGAGGCTGTCCAGGAGTTCTTCCTGATCCAACCAGTTTCATCCACCGTTTTCACAATCCTGTGTCTGTTGGATGGGTGGAAGAGGATCCACTGGGGAACATCGGAAGTGCGTATCTTCCCATGGCAACCAAAAAAGATAAGCCCGGAAGAAAAAAGGGAACAAATGATGAAGGACTACTTCTGGGTGGAGCTGAGGCATATTCCGGTAGAGGTACAAGCCACATTTATCTACGACCTGGGTCAACACTACACCATAGTGGACTTTATTGACCCGCTCCCGACATATGTGGCAAAGAGGGACGACTACGTAATGCTTGCGCTGGACCTCCCCAAGGATCAACCATTCTCAATTGATGACATTGTGCCGTTCAGAATGGGTGGAAAAACGTATAAAATCCATACCGCCCATAAGTTCAGACCTTGGTGTTTCAGGTGCAGAGCTTATGGACATCTGAGTACTGAATCAGCCTGTCCCCACCACCCTAACAAAAGGAGCATGGTTACTGGTCGCCTCCAACGCGACCTCCGCAGACCCTTCAGGTGGTACACAGTTGACCCCGGCCACGAAGGCTGGGTCTATTTGGAAGACCTGGATCAGAAAGGACAACCAAAGGGATGGGTCTGGGAAGGGAGGGGGGAGCCATGCAGACTCACAAGACCCCCGCTGGAGTGGGCACCACCGCGGGAGGCAATGGAAAACAGACCACAGGGACGCCCTGCAAAACCCCCCACGGAGAGGAAACAAGCATCGCCACCGCTCGGGATAACCGAGGACAGACTGGGGGGACGCGCGGCAAAATCTATCACGGACCAAACACCCTCCCCTGTTGGACCGGACCTCCATGCCCCACGGACACCGATACAAATGCAAAACGGGCAACTGCAGCAAAAGAAGAGGCAACCTTCTTGGGGC